AAGTAACTGACTGTGACTAGTAATAATCAGATATATAGAGATTAGAAATGCATGTGCAAACATCTTAATGTCAATTGCATTAAAAATGAATATTTTTCTTAAAAAAAAAAAGAGTACTGGTTGCTTTTTCAGAAGACATGTGTTTGGTTCTGAGCCCTCACATGGCAGCTCACAGCCATCCTGTAACTCCAGTTTCAGGGCATCTGATATCCTCTTTTGGCCTCTGAGGGCACTGCATGCATGTGGTACACTTACATACGTACAAGCAAGCACTCATATACAAAAAATAAAAATAAATTTTCAAAAAATATATTTCTTAGAAGGAGCCCGAGAGAGAATAGTAGGGTACTGGTGTTATCAAGGGGAAAAGTCTAAAATAGGGGTATTCAAATGGGAGAGGGAGAGGAGGAGCTGATCTTCTTAAAGGGAAGGACTATAGATAGGTAGACTAGACCTTAGTAGACGAACTTGCATTGAGGGACATCTGGGGACACTAACTTGACGCAATAGGCCTTAGCACAAATGACAGAATTCATAAAATCTAGTTGGGGGATGGCTATGAGAAGGTACAGATGGAGAGGGGTACAAAAATGATTAATATGTTCTGTGTGACATGCACAAAAATTTAAATAAAAAATATATCTATATCTATCTATCTCTACGCACGCACGCACGCACGCATGCACACACACACACACACACACACACACACACACACACACGTATTTCTCAAAGTACAGTCCTGGGTATCTCCAGGAACATGGTAAGAATTCTTGTTTCCTTATGACATCAAAGAATCACTACCAGTGTTTCTCAAAATCAAAGGACGGAAGAAAAGAATGCTAGATGATCATGCTTGACTTTGGATCTTAGATGTTGCTGAAGGCCACCGGTTTTAGGCCCAGTTCCCAGGGTGGTGCTATTGGAAAGTGGTAGAAACTTTGGGAGGCAATGAGTGGTGGGAGGTCTTTGAGACATTGAAGCTGTGCCCTTGAAAAGGACTGTGAGAACCTAGATCCTTCTTTTTCTCATTTCTTGGCCATGAGGCAAGCAATTTGGTTCTACAATGTACTCCTTCCATGATATGCCACCTCACCACAGGCCCAAAGCTATGAGGTAAATGGATCTTGGACAATAACCACCAAAACTGTGAGCCAAAATGGATGTTTTCTTTTGTAAACTGATTGCCTCAGGTATCTGTTACAGTAATGAAAAGCAGACTAACACCAACTTAGTCTTCTTTCCATAGAAAAAATAAATTCAACATTTTAAGGAAAATCATGCTACTCCTCTAAATTGTACCTCATCAAGAGTCACATTCTGAACAGATGTTGACTGGTAAGCAATATTTCTGATATAACCCATCAGTTCCAAGAGCCACTCCAGTCTCTTCAACACACCTGAAACAAAATGAGTATTTTCTTATTACAACATGATTTTCCTTTGAATTCTAAAACCCATCAGTAATAACCATCATAACTGAAGCAGAATACTTAACTGGTCAGTACTCTATTAAACAGCTTCAAGTTCTTATGCAAACCCACAAGAAAGTTGACACACAACTTGTGTGTCAAGAACACTATTTTTTTTCCCTAACCCCAGTTTCAAAGCCTAATAAACACAACAATGATCAGCACAGTAAACTATGTTTATTGATGCAGTCAGTAGTGGCACTTTTATCTCTGGAGTAGTCAACAGCTATCTAATTCGACTTAAAGCCCGCTCAATGGAAGGGAACTCATGTGTGGCACTGTAAACATAATCAAATACATATGGCTGAAGAGGTCATAGGTCCTAGAGAAAAAATCCTAAGTTTGTCATATCCCTAAACAAACATAATTATTTACTGTATGCTAAATATGGATTTCTAGATTTACTGACAAGCATATCTGTCACCATTCATCAAAGAAGCATCTTTTTGCAACAAAGGGAGACTATTACAGAGTTCCACAACTGGTTACATACAGGAAATAAATATCTGTGAGATGTCTAGCCCTAAATGAAACATCAACAATGCAACCTCAATACCTAAGGCTCACAAAACATAGTAAACAGGAGGTAGAGAGAATACTAATGCATCTTTCAACTCTTACCAGCAAAGCTTCTTCTTCTTCACGCAGTAGAGGGTGATTAACACAGAAGGCCACAACTGGCTAAAGTATAGCGAATAAGAGACTACAGACTGCATGTCCCTGGATAGGACTCCTATATTATACCTCACCCACCCAGGGCTCAGGGACCATTGCAGAAGAGGGGACAGAAAAATTTTAAGAGCCTGGGTAGTGGATGACCATAAGGTACAGAGTTTTTCAGGTGGCTGGGAACTTGGCTCATATGAACTTCCAGTAATGGTGATTACATGTACAAGACCCACACAAATTTAAACCAGACAAAAACCCAGCATAGAATGGGGAAAATGGGCAAGAGGCCCCAAACTTTGCTGAGGAACTATTGGCAACTGATCACTGCTGGGTGAGGGAAAGTTGGTGTTAAGGAAGTTACACAGGATAGGCTGACCAGGCTCTAGTAGACGAATTCATACAGCGGAACATCTAGGGATACAAGCTTTACTCAATAGGCCTTAACATATGACAGAATGCATGAAATGTGGTAGTTGGGGGGGCAATGGGGGAAGAGCAGATAGGAGAGGGGATCTAAATATGATTAATATATATGAAATACACAAAAATTAAATGAAAATGTTTTTTAAAAAGGAAAACTATTTTGGCCTTCATTTTCCACAATGATCTATGCAAACTTCCCTGTCCACATTTACTACAGATTTTCCTCTGAAAACTGAATACACCTGGAGAAATCTAGTCTGGACTCTCAACTAGCAAATAATGTTGAATCGTGTGTAATTATGTGTTTTTATAGTCCTCCTTTGTTTTTGTGTTCTCAATATGCCAGAATGACTGGAAATCTATCCCAAAGACATAAAAAGAAAAATATAAACTAGTCATTGTAGGGTAAGTAGAGGACAAATATCTACACAAATACTAATTATGTCCTGTTTTAGTTTTTTTAAAAATGAGGAGTCCCAGCATAGGAAAATCTACTTGAAAGGTTTTCAAAATTTAGTAACTAAGGAAAACCAGAATTACATTTTAGAATTGGCTAGCTAGAATTAAAGGCAACATCAAATGATTTCAGTTTATTCCAAGAATCTTTATCAATTTATCAATTTATCTTTATCAACTAGAAATACCTACTATATTTCTTCCCAATAAATTCATTTTTAGTCTTGAAAGTCTGATGACCTGACTCTGATTCCTGGAGTTCACAGTGTAAAAGGGAATCAGCTCCCCAAAGATGTCCTCCATAGCATGCATGTGCCCACATTCATACACACACACACACACACACACACACACACAAAAAAAAA